ATATGGAATACAGAATACGGAAAGCAGCTTTTAAAACAGTTGTTTTTATTTATCTTATTGTACACATCGTCCTTCTGGTTTTGCTTACTTTAACTGTACAGCAGTTTCCACGTGGTTTTCCAAGTTTTTTCTAGTCATCGCTTTTTATGACACATTAATATTTGATGACATTCATTTACTGCAATTTGTTCAGCCATTTCCCAATGAATAGGGCACCCTGTTTTGTTTCCATTTTTTTTTTACTGCCACAAAAAGTGTGACTATGAATATTTTGGTTAATATGGGCTCTTTTTTTTTTTTCTACTTTTGACCTCCTTGAGATACTTGCTCAGGAGTGGGACCTCAGGGTCCAAGGATTTGAATAGTTTAGTAGCTTTTAAAAAGTCATTCATTCCAAATTATTTTCTTAGAATGACTGGACTAGTGGGGTTCTCCAACAGTGTATTAGTGGGCCTGACTTCACAGTTCTTTTATAGACTGTTTTTTTATCTTCTGTCTTTGCTAACTTGCTGAGTACAACGAGTAACCTTCGGATGGTTCGGCCTTGTATTTCTCTCATTAGTAGGGCTTTGGAGCATTTTTCAACATGGTTGTTGGTAGCTTGATGTTCTTCTTTTGAAAATTGTTCATATCTTGAGATATGTGAGATAGCTCGTGCTCTTATATGTTTGTGCCAATTCTCTCTATATTTTGGAACTAGACTTCGCTCAGCTGGGTTTAAGGCAGAGATTGTTTTTTTCCTACTCTCTGGCTTCTGTTATTCTAACTTGATTTTATTTGGGCAAAAGTGGTTTTGATTTGCATCTCTCTTATTAGTGATTTGGAGCAACCTTTCACATGGCTGTTGATTGTCTGCAGTTCTTTGTTTGAAAACAATTTGTGGCTTTGACCACTTAGCTATTGGGGAATGCCTCTTGGAGTGTCATGTATTTGTGTAAATTTCCTATATGTGTCACACTTTTGTCAGAGATATTTTTTCCCATTTAACAGTTTCCCCTCTTATCTTAGTTGGATTGATTTTGCTCCTGCAAAAACATTAAACTTTGTATAGTTGTCTATTTTTTCTTTTTGAATGTCCTCTGACCCTTGTTTGAGGGGACCCAGATAAGGGTCTGCCCCTTCCCACCAACAACATTGTGAAAATTACCTTCTTCCATTCTGCTCTAATTTTTTCATGTCAGTTTTTTATATTTCAGTTACCTAGCCATTTGGAACTTGCTGTTTTAAGTAGTCTGAGTTGTTAGTCTAAGCTGATTTTCTGTCCAATCACTTTCTAATTTTCCCATTAGTTCTCATTGCATATCATGTCCTTCACCCCAGTGGTTATTATTCTTGGGTTTATCAGACCCTGAGTTCAGATGAACTGAGTGCAATTGTTTCTCATTCCTGCTTATGTAGATGATTCCACTCACCGATGTTTCTATTTTTGACCCAGTATCAACATTTTTTTGATGATTTCTACTGTATAACAGAGTCTGAGGGCTGGAAACACTATTTCCCCTTTATTCCTTTTTTTCTCATTGTTTTCTTTGAGATTCTAGACCCTTGGTTCCTTCAGATGAATTTTCTTATTAGTTTGCCCATTCAGTAAAGTCATCATGTGGTCAATTGATTTGCATAGCACTAAATCTGTAAATTAATTTAGATAGTCTTGTTCTTTTTAGTGTTTGGGTGTGGCCCAACCAGGAGCAGTGAGAGCAGTCTTCCAGTTCTTCCAAGGCTTCCCTTATATCTGTTTGGAGTGTTTGTAATTGCATTTCCTTAAGTCTTAAGTGTTGCCTGGTAGGCTGACTCCCAGATATTTCATTCGTTTTGGAGTTATTTTGAATTGGATTTCTTTCTAAAATAATTTCCTCCTGATCCTCATCATTGCTATATGGAAGTGCTGGCGTGTGTGTGTGTGTGTGTGTGTGTGTGCGTGCGTGTGCGCGCGCGCGTGTGTGTATTTATTTTGCATTCTGATACTTAAATGAAGCCCTTCATCAGTTTCTTTGTTGGGTGCCTAGAATTTTCTGAGCAAACCATCATGCCATCTGCAAACAGGGATAGTTTTGTCTCCTCTCTGCTGATGTTGATGCCTTTACTTTCATTCTCTTGTTTTATTGCTAGGGCTAGCAAACCAGAGTGGAGAGACAAGGGGGTCTTGGCTTTACCTTAATGTTCAGCCAGCCCCACTGCAGGCCTACTGCACCTGCACCTCTTCTCAGAATGCTGCTCTAATGACCCATTTCTCTCTTTGACTTGGAACAGAACACTGGTTTCCTTGAATGAGGCCTAGGGCCTAGTGCCTAAGAGGAAATAAACAACCTGCTTAGGGCTAGCCTTCCCCAAAGTCAAATCTAGAAGGTGGTGGTCTGTGTCACACACTTGGATGAAGTCACTGACCTCAGATGATTCTAAGAGCTTTGGAGTAATGAAATGCCAAAGCTCTAAGCAAGGGTTGAGAGCAAATAAAAATCTCAACGCAGGTACTTAATAAATGCTTGTTGGACTGAATGGCTTTCTCTAGTTCTACACAGGATGTTGGACTTCTAGCCAAGAGTTCTGACTAAGGCCAGGGGCTTGGAAGTCTCTTATCCTGAAGGCATCAGCTGGCTGTACTACCTTTAACTAAGAAGCCCAACAAAAATACTGGAACTGGAGAAAGCCATTCAGTCCAACAAGCATTTATTAAGTACCTGCTATGTGCCAGGCACTGCTCTAGGTACTGGGGCTACAAAAACAAAAAGGAGAAACCATTGCTGCCCTCCAGGAGGGCTACTGGGAAAACATTGGAAACCAAATGGGAAATGCTATCACACCCTGGTACCAAGGCCGTATCCTTGGAATGCTGTGTGTAGTTCTAACTATTGTGCCTTCAAAAGCTATATTGGAGCTAGAGAAGATCCAGGGCAGAGTCCAAACTAAACTGATGAAGAGGAGGAGAGCAGTGGTCTCTATCTTGGCCACGCTGGAAGTGCAATGGCCATGTCTGGGTCCCATCTCATTACTGATCAACATGGAAGTTTCAGTTTGCTCCATTTCCAACCTGGGCTGTTTTGTCTCTCCTTAAGCAGACTGGTAACTCTCTGCTGCCAGGGACTCATCTATTGGTGTCAGACCCAGTGACACCTGATCACCTTTAGCCTGATTTCAGCTTAGAACTCCCAAGCTCAAGTGATCCCCCAAGCTCAAGTGATCCACCAACCTCAGTTTCCCAGTAGCAGGATTTAGAGGCATGTGCCACCAGGCCTGGTCAAATCGATATTCCTAAAGCACATTTGACCATGTCACTCCCTTGCTCAAAAATCTTTAATGTTTTCCTGTTGTAACTGGGATAAAATAGAAAATCCTCTGGGTGACATTTAAAAGCCTTTCCAGTCTGGTTCTCACCTATTTTTCTAGACAAATTTCGCATTATTCCTCCTAATTTGCTCTGTGTTCCAGACAAATGGGTTACTTGCTGTTCCTCATACATAACATTCATTACCCACCTCTGTGCCAAGTATGTTGTGTAGGAGGCAGCACCTGAATTGGGCTTGGGAGGAAGGAAGGGATTCTGTGAGCTGGAAGTGAGGAGGAAACATATTGTAGATCTGGGAGACCACTTGTGCAAAGACACGGAGGTGGAGGATAGCCTGCTGTGGGCAGGGAACAATGAATAGGCCAGTGTGACTGGAACAGAGAGTGAGAAGCGTGCAATCAAACTGGAAAGGTAGAGAGGAGTCACGTCAAGGAGGGCTTTCTGAGCCAGCCTTAGGACTTTATTCTATTTGATTTTAGAGGCAATAGAGTGACATTGGCAGGTCTGTGTTTTAGGATTGTCAAGTTGGCAGCTGTGTGGAGACTGAATTGGAAAGAGGAGAGACTGGAAGCCCAGAGACCAATTAGAAGGCTATTATTGCAACAGTGTAGACAAGAAGGGATGGGGAGTGAACTGTGAGTTAGGGCAGCGAGAAGGTAGAAGCAACAAGCTTGGGCAATGGAACACTTGTATAGGGTGAGAGAGTGAGGAGGCAAGGATGACACTTGGTTTGGGGGTAAACATAGTGAATTCTCTCTTGGACATACTGAATTTAAGATGCCTTCAGATCATCTAGTTTGACGTTTCCAAAAGCAGTTGGTATTGTGAATTTGGAACTCAGGAGAGAGATTAAGGGTGAATTTATAAATCTGGGAATCATCTGCATAGAGTTGATAACTAAACCCATGGGAGATGGTGAGAGCCACAAGGGCACAGGCCATGGTTAGTGGGTATGACATTAATGAACAACCAGCCAAGAAGGAGAGGGAGCAGCCAGACAGGAGATGTAGATGTAGGATGGATAAGATTAGGCAACTGATTGGATCTGGGTTTTGAGGGAGAGGGAAGAGTTGAGGATAACTTTGAGGTTGTAAGCCCGAGGTGGTTTGGAGGAGCGATGGGACTATGGAGATATCAGGCAAATTCCATTTTCGATGTCTTCTGTTTGAGATACCTGTGAGACATCCAGTGAAGATTTCCGGCAAGCATTTGGTAATGTGGGACTGGAGTTTAGGAGAGAAATTGGGCCTGAATGTAAAAATGTGAGTGCTGAGATCACCAAGGGAGAGAGTGTAGGGAATGGTAGAAAAGAGGACAGAAGAGAGAAAGCCTTGCGGGATTATCACACTTAGTGAATTAGAGGAGGATCACTCACTAAGGGAGACTGAGGAGAAGTGGAGTCAGAGAAGCCATGGGAGGAGCATGTACTTAATGTCTGTATCCTTTAAAAATACGTAAATATTAGTAATTGATGATTAGTTAATGTTTATGATTGCTGTTTTAATAACATTTTATTTCTGGTAGAGGAAGCCTCATTGAATACAATTATTGTTAAATGTTCTTTGATTATTATTTGTGTCTGGGACAAGCCTAGCCCTTTGACCAACACAACCACGAACCAGACCCTTGGCTCACCCTGGGCCAATCGCATAAATTGTGGGCTCAGTGCCTTTAGATGAAATCAACTCATCTAAAATGGTCGTCTTATGAACGCAGTCCTGGTAAGTGACAAGGCATGATAGGGATCAGTTAAAAACCATATGGCTTAGTGATTTGAATTTGTAGCTAAGAGTTAAACAAACAGCTCTTGAAATGTTAGATTGTTTAACGAGTGTGAGGGCCTCTTTGTTTGGAGCGATCCAATTGGCCCCTGTTTTCTCTCAAGACACTGAGGCGGGTTTGTCAGGTGTATAGGAGGGACTACTCGAGGAAAGGTTGGGGGTTTTCGCTGTCACTTGAGTCATAAGTGATCTTAGAACGACTGTCCCCTCTGCTCTCAGGACAGAATTCAGATGGTGATGGTTTGAGTGGTAAGCAGAAAAGACGCCTCTCTGGTCTTCCCAGGGAGTCATCCGTTTGACTTGGCGAAGCAGCCTGTTTGTTGTAAGGGTCTGGTGCTGTTGGCCTGCTGTTTGATATGAGTCTTTGTCCTCCTTCAGGCAGCTCTGCTTGTTTGGATACTTTTTAAGGCTAAAGTGAAGTGAGTCATGTCGGAGGCGGTTGATCTCTCCTTTCTCTCTGAGACAGAGAGGGACTTGATCTTGAAAGTTCTTCAGCGAGACGAGGAGCTCCGGAAAGCCGAAGAGAAGCGGATCAGGTGAGAGTATCAGAGAGGCCTCGGGGAATCCTCAGGCCTGGCCTGGCAAGGTTGGCCATTTTGGCTTGTGTTTCTTGCTTGAAACTTTAGAGATCTTGTCATAGCTGCATGTCTGCTATGTGTCTACTGCATGTTTGCCACGTGTGTCTTCCCCAGGGCTTCAAGTTGGCTCTGTGTTGTGGTGAACTTCGTAAAAAGCAAAGGGCCTCACTCTCTTTTCACATCACTACCCCGAAAAAAAAATCAGCACCAGTCAAAAATCCTGCTCAACCCACTGAGATCCTGACTCCAGGTGAACAACTCTCTCTGGTCTGAGCAGGAGACTAAAGAATGAGCTGCTGGAGATCCGGAGGAAAGGGGCCAAGCGGGGCAGCCAGCGGTATGGTGAGCGGACTTGTGCCCGGTGCCAGCAGAGCCTGGGGAGAATATACCCCAAAACCAACACTTGCCGAGGCTGTAATCACCTGGTGTGTCGGGACTGCCGCACCCCTGGCACCCATGGCACCTGGAGGTGCAAGGTGTGCGTCAAGGAAGCGTGAGTGTTGTTCCAGAACCAGGGGGAGGAGTGAGCAGAGAGGGAAGTGAGGCCTTGCATGTGGCGAAAATGTCAGCCTGCACGCCTGCCTGAAAAAGTGCCTTTAGCCGAATGTCAATTCTTCTTCTTCCCTCCCAGAGAGCTGAAGAAGACAACCGGTGACTGGTTTTATGACCAGAAAGTGAATCGCTTTGCAAACCATCTGGCCAGCGACTTGGTGAGGATGTCACTGCGGAAGAAGCCAACAGGTACTGCATTTCTAGGGAGACTGCGTCCTGGCCAAGTGGGTCCTGGGGTATTCAGGTTCGCTTTAGGTTTTGCCCTATTTCTAGGAAATAGAGGGCTTTGTTCTACTGCCAGCTATTCCTTCCTTCCTTCCTTCCTTCCTTCCTTCCTTCCTTCCTTCCTTCCTTCCTCCCTTCCTTCCTTCCTCCCTTCCTTCCTTCCTTCCTTCCTTCCTTCCTTCCTTCCTTCAGCAAATGTTTCTTGAGCGTTTATACGAGGGGACTTCAACAGACATATTGATACTCAAACACCTCAAATCTCACAGTTCCTCAACTTAGTCATTTCCCAAGACCTACTCCTCCAGCTGTCTGAGCTACTAACCTGAGCTGGTCACACCCTTGATCTTGCCACCACCCACCAAGGTACCACCTCCAGGTTCAAGAACTCTCAAATTCCCTTATCTGATCACAATCTATTGTCATTCCACCTCTCCCTCTGCCTTGCAACCCCAAAGCCTGTTTTTCATCCCTATGATGACCTTTAGGCCCTCAGCCTCTCGGTACTTTCCCAGGCAATCATCCCTGCACTAATTACCCTCTCCTCCCTTCCCCATCTTGACCTTTTGGTGAACCAGTTCAACTCCACATTGCCCTCTTCTCTTGAGTCCCTTGCCCTCTTAGACTATCTCTATTCTTGCCCTGCCAAGACTCAGCCTTGGATCACTCCCACAGTCTTCTGCCTTCTCTTCTCAACATGTGCTGTTGAACAAAAATGGAAAAAATCACAAAACAATGGTGACTGGATCTACTACAAATTTATGTTGCGTAATCTCAGCTGGGCCCTCACTGCGGCAAGGCAATCCTTTTATACCTCCTTAATGAACCATCCCCCTCACCACAATAGTTCTTCCAAATCTTCCCATGGCTCCCCCTCACCACAATAGTTCTTCCAAATCTTCCCATGGCTCCCCCTCACCACAGCAGTCTCAGCGAAGACCTTTCCTTACCTCTGATTTTACTGAAAACATCGAGACCATTCACCAAGAGCTCCCTCTTCTCTCCTCCTCCTCATCCTATATCACTCACATGCCTTCTGCCTCTATCTCCTCCCCCACCTCTTTCTCACATGATGATGTGGCTCTTCTTGCTAAAGCAAACCTGGTCTAAATGTGTACATAAGCTCATTCCATCCTATCTTTTTCAGGAGATTGAATCCTCTATCATCCCCACTCTCTTACTTACCTTCCATCTCTCCTTGTCTACTGGCTGTTTCCCTGTGGTCTACAAGCATACCCATACCTCTTCCATCCTAAAAACTCTCATTTGATCCATCCATCCCTGTTAGCTCTCATCCCATATCTTTCCCCCCATTTGTGGTTAAACTCCACGAGAAGACAATCAGTCCCTCCCCTTCCTTTCCTCTCACTTTCTTCTTAACTCTCTGAAGTCTGGCTTCTGACCTCATCGTTCAACCTAAACTGTTCTCTCCAAAGTTCCCAATGATCTCTTAATGGCCAAATCCAGTGGCCTTGTCTCAGTCCTCATCCTTCTTGACCTTTCTGCAGCCTTTGACATTGGCGATCTCCCTCTTCTCCTTAATCCTTTCTTCTCTCTAGGTTTTCATGACACCCCTCTCTCCTGGTTCTCTTCCTACTTGTTCATCTGCTCCTTCTCAGTCTCCTTTGCATCGAGTGTCCCTAAGGGCTCTGTCCTGGGTCCTCTTCTCTTCTCTTCTTCCTTGATGCTGTTTCACTCGGTGATTGCATCAGCTCCCATGGATTCAATGACCATCTGATCTATGCTGATGATTCTCAAACCTACTTATCCAGCCCTAACCTCTCTGCTGACTTCCAGACTGGCATCTCCAACTGTCTATTGAATATCTTGAACTGGATGTGCCATAGACACCTTAAACTCACCATGTCCCAAACTGAACTCATTATCATCTCTCCCCCTCTCCTTACTGTGAGCAAAGATCACAATCCAGGTGTCATCCTCCCTGCTTCACTTCCTCTTACCCCTTATATCCAATCTGTTGCCATGGCCTATTGATCCATTAGATTGTTAGCTCATTGAGGGCAGGAACTGTCTTTTGCCTCTTTTTATGTCACTTAGCACAGAGCCTGGCACATAGTAGGAACTTAACAAATGCTTATTGATAAATTATTGATTTTGCCTTCATCCTCTCTCTCACATGTGCCCTCTTCCTTCCTCTGACATTACCAGCACCCTGGTGCAGGCCCTCGTCATTTCATGCCTGGACTATTGCAGTAGCCTGCTGGTGGGTCCTTCTGCCTGAAGTCTCTCTCCATGCCAGTCCATCCTCCACTCAGCTATCAAAGTGATCTTAAAGCACAGATCACCCTCCTGCTCAATAGACCTCCAGGATCAAATACAAAATGCTCTGCTTGCTACTCAAACCCTTGACAACCTGGCCCGGCCTCCCACAGTTCCATTCTTCTCCTCCTTGGCCCTTGCCATGTACTCTTCAATCCAGTGACCCTGGTCTCCTTGCTGTTCCTTGAATAAGACACTTTGTCTCCTGACTCTGTGCCTCTTCCGTGACTCTCCCCCATGTCTGGAATGTTCTCTCCTTTCATCTCTGCCTCCTGGCTTCCTCCAAGTCTTTGCTAACATGCTACCTCCTACAGGAAGCCCTTCCCAATCCCCCTTCATGCTAGCATCTTCCTTTTGTTGACTATTTCCAATTTTCCCTGCCTGTATCTTGTTTGTATGTTCTCTCTCCAATTAGACTGGGAGTTCCTTGAGAGCCAAGACTGGTTTTTGCCTTTCTTTGTATCCCTAGAGCTTAACACAGTGCCTGGCACACAGACACTTGATTGATGACTGTTGACTAACAGAGCACCTACTATGTGTCAGGCACTGTGCTAGGTAAGAACCAGAAAGTTGCTTGAAATGGAATGGGACCATCTGCATGTAACCTACATTTAGAACTAGAAAGGACTCGAGAGGTAATCTTAGTTCTTTTTTTTGTTTTGTTTTTTGCTTTTTGGTGAGGCAGTCGGGGTTAAGTGACTTGCCCAGGGTCACACAGCTAGTAAGAGACTGGATTTGAACTCAGGTCTTTCTGACTCCAAGGCCAGAGCTCTATCCTTTGTACCACCTAGCTGCTCTCGATAATCTAATTCTAGGGGGGAACCTGAGGCCCAGGGAGGCTGACTCGCCCAAATCCACATATCTAGTAAATGATAGGGTCAAGGTTCGACTCTTTATTCTCTGTCTCGAAATCAGTGTTTGTCCCACTGCACCATGCTGCCTCCTTGCTTTTTAAGATTAATTCTTCCTTTTCTTTTTTCCCCCTTGACCCTTCCCATTTTGGAATGACCTTTGAAGCTGGTAAAAGAGATACTGTGGGCCAGTGTCTTCTCCAGCAGTCCCAACTAAGTGAGACCCGGACTGGGATGAAGAGCACCCAGGAGCCCCTGAAGGAGTTCAGGTAATAAATACCCAGATCGTTTCCAGCGTGGTGCGGAGTGTTTTTGGTTCTTTTTTATCACTTGAGCTGCTCCACAAGGACAAAAACGAGAGAAGTGCGGTTATTTGCCTAGGGTTACACAGCTAGCTAATGGAGAAATGGGGCTAGAGCCTGCATCTCGTGACCCTTTAGTTTTGGCAAAGTGATTGATTGTTGGTGAGTTTGTGTTTCACCTTTCCTCTTCCCCCTAACCCCTCAAAGTGATAAGAAATGTACCCAGTAAAGTCATGAGAACAAAATGGAGAAGTAGCGGTCTGACTCCCTCACAAAGGAGTTTCACCAAAAAAATCCCCCCAAGTTCCCGTTGCAGGCTCTTAGCTCTGTGACCAGTCTTACTGACTTGTTGCCTGAGCCGGCCAAGCCCATACTCTGAGTTCCACTCTGTGCCCCATCTGACTGGCATGGTTGTTTGTAATTTCATAGGATCGTAGATTCAGAAGCAGAGGGCCCTGAGAGGCCTTCAGATCCAACCCCTGCATTTTATAGTTGAGGAAATTGCCATTAAGGCTCAACTCACTCATTTTACAGAGGAGGAAACTGAGGCCCAGAGGTGTCACACAGCTAGTAAACGGCTGAGATGGGATTGGAACCTGGGTCTTCCCAGCTCCAAGTCCAGTACCCTGTCCACCATATCATGTTGTCTCCCTGGGCAGGACTTAACTTCCCTCACCCTGCTGATCTGGAGAGAGCAGGCAGCTGGAGGGAGGGGAAATGAGTTCAAGGAAAGAAGCAATGAGCTGTCACAGAAAATGTATTGATACTGTGTTCAGTGTTGTAGGCCCAAGCTTCCCAGAGCCAGTTGTTTACTATGATTATTCCAAATCCAGGCATTGTTCTCCTTGAAAGAGAAACGTCTGAACTGGCAGAATCCCCTCATACCCTCAGGCTTGTCTCCCCGACAAAATACTTCTGAAGTCACATTTATAGGAATCTTGAACAAGGAAACCATGGTGATATACTGTGATAAAACATAGTTAGACAGTTAGTTGGGGAATGTGACAGTTACCATCTTGCTTCATCAAACAGACCAATTGCCATTTAATCTGTTGGCCATATCCTTGGATAATCATTTCCCTAAAACTGCTCATTCCCTCTATAAGCTCTCCCCTCAAGGGCTCTCCTCTCCTCCCCTCCCCTCCCCCAACCTGATCATCCATGACCAGAAGTAATCAAAAGGACCTCCTCCCTTTGATCAATATCTTAATACTTCCAGGAAATGAGGAAAAGGGGGACTGCTCTCTGACGGGCCAATGTTCCAATTCCCTCCTGCCACTGGGAAAGAGGCTGCTATTCATAGAGCAGAGGTTCTTGGTCTGGGGACCATGAACTTATTTTAAAAATATTTTGATAACTGTATTTCAAGATAATTGGTTTCCACTGTAATCTTGTATATTTTATTTTATGCATTAAAACCACAGTTCTGGGCAGGGCTCCATAGGCTTCCCCAGACTGCTGCCCCAAGCGGTCTAAGAAAGAACTCTTGGCGTAGGTGGATCCACAAAAGGCCCCTTGCCGTTGCCCAGCCACCACCGTAATTACTTCAAGGGAGGAGTCCTTCCTGGACTTGTTGGAGAGAGGGGGCAGGACATGGTTTGGGGACTGATAGTGAAAGAAAGACTGATAAGGTTTCTCTTTTAGATTGGTTCAGAGGCTGCAGACTAGGATAACTTCCAAATGCTTTCTTAATATTTCTAAAAGAGAGTGTGTGTGTGGAGTGGTGGGGGTGGATGGGCCTGAGGTTTTATCTGCTCCCGAAAAGCATAGGAGGAGAATGGATGAGGGAGGCCCTCTGGCAGAATGCCTCAGTAAAGGGTTATGGCTAAGCTTGGCCTTCATCATTTTAAGGAGATGGGGTAGAGAGGGGATATCACTAGTCCAGGGGTTCTTGCCCTTTTTTTTGTCCTGGGCCCTTTGATCATCATCTGGGAAAGCTAAGACACCCCTTCTCAGAATCATATTTTTAAATGCGAAAAATAAAAGACATGAGATTACAAAGGAAACCAGTTGTATCCAAATACAGTGATGAAAGTATAAAACCCCAACCAAAACTATGTTCACAGACCCCAGATTAGGAAGCGCTGGCCTAGACACAGCTGTGGAACATACATAGATGGCCCTTTTCTCTTCAGCTTAGAAATAAAATCAGACTCAGAGCTGGCACGGAACTAGGAAGTCATTGAACCCCTTCTCTATCTAGTGCCATATGAGGAAAGTGTGGCCCAGAGAGATAGTGACTTACTCAAGGTCACACAGAACTAAGCGGCAGAGCCAGATTTGAACCCAGGTCTATCTGATTTCAGGTCTAACACACTAGCCATATACTACCTCTCTGAGAATCCATAGAATTATAGAATCATAGAATGTTAATTATCTGGAAAGGAACTTTGATCTAGGGGCAGCTAGATGGCTCAGTGGTTAGAGCGCTGGGCCTGGAGTCAGGAAGACCTGAGTTCAAATGTGACCTCAGATACTTACTAGCTGTTTGACCCTGGCCAAGTCACTTAACCTCTATTTACGTTAATCTATTAGAGAAGGAAATGGCAAACTGCTCCAGTATCTTTGCCAGGAAAACCTCATGGACAGTATTGGCTTGGTATGGCCCATGGAATCGAGAACAGTTAGACTTGACTGAACAACAACCAGGCTGACTCCCTAATTTTGCAGAAGAACAGACTGAGGTCCTCAGAAGTTAAATGATTTGCTGAAGTTTATCCAGGTGGCTCAGGGCAAAGCTGGCTGCAACACCCAGGTGTCCGTATTCTTAGTTCAGTACTGTTTCCAGTGCACCATGCAGACAGTTGGACCTTTTTCCTTTCATAGGAGAAACATGCCATTAAAAGTCCTTGTTTAGTGATAGTTATGAAACCTCTTCCTCCCATGAGGGATTCTGAGATGGTAGAAGGAATAGAGAATTTGTTCTGGCATCACCTGTTCCCCCCCCCCTCCCCACACACCCAGGTGAGGGGCCTAAAGGAGTGTGGGTAAGGAGTCAGGAGAGATGGTAAGTGATTTGCCTCGTCAGTCAGTCAGCCTGTGCCAGTCATCACCATGAAAGAGGAGACCTCACCTGGGGTAGCTGGATTCCTGCCGAGTACTCATTTGTTTTGGGTTTTTCCCCCTGTAGCTTGTCTTTTGATGCTTCAGAGCCCAGAGATGGAAAGGATTCTCTGGAGCCCGAGAGCACGAGCGTGGACAATAGCCAAGTGGATGCTGTAGGTGACACTTGGAGGTGAGAGCGCTGCCTCCCTCCTCTGAGTGAGCACATGTGCGTGCGTGCACATGCATGTCCACGCATGTGCATAGACACATGTTCGCACACGTACACGCGCACGCACACATACACATCCCTGAATTCTCAGCAAGCCTCCTCTCCATCCCAGCATTAGGATGCAGGCTTCCTATTCCTTTAGTGTGCCGACCTCCCTCGCTAGACCTGTCCTGAAATCTCTGACTGCTGGATCACTTGCTTTGACTCTTCTGATAGTGTTTCTTGTCAGTAAGTGGGCTCAGAACCCAGGACATCTGGAGTGTGTTAGCTTTCTGAGGCTGGACTGCTCAAGGAGTTTGTGCCAAGCCAAACATTGAGGAGCCCAGCCGCCCCTCAGGAATGATACGTGCACATGTGTGTTTGTGTACTGGAAGGCGGGGGTGTGGGGTGCTTATTTAGACATTAGCCTTCTGCATTCCCTTACCTCAAATATAGTTTGAAGCTCAGGGTCTGGGTCCAATTATACCCATGGCTCTAGGCCAGTGATTATAGATTTTCCAGCACTGTGTTTCCTCTTGGGGTTGGCCAGCCTTTGCTTCTAACATGTGTATCTGTCTGTCTGTCTCCTGGAGAAACCCTCTGGAGAAAGTTGGAACCTTGCGAGAAAGCAAGAGGAGCTCTGAGGGCCCAGAGTGCAGCGCCAACAAGGCCGAAGCAGATGATGTAAGTCGGGATTTGACTCTGATAAACTTGGAGGAACCTATGCAGTTCCACTGAGGGATGGAAATCCAGTTGACAATCCAGTTCAGTGGGTCTAGAAAATGCTCAGGGTTTTATTCTAGTTTAAAGCTGTGCGTGTGTGTGTGTGTGTGTGTGTGTGTGTGTGTGTGTGTGTGTGTTTCCTGGAATGTGTTCATACTTTGGTTCATGGTTCAGTCCAAAGCTGTTTGGTGGAAATGATGATACCTCTGTATTGTTGATCTCCACTTCTAAAGTGCTATATGTGAGAACTGTTATCAAGCATTATTCAATTTCTATTTGTCTTAATAGGGTTTGAATCAACTTGAATAAACCTATAGAATTTGTGTCTGTGTTATGGGGGTGAGACAACAAGGAGAATTCATTCAAGTGGGAGGTCCATGTGCTAGCTTTGAACATCTAGCCTCCCTGCCAAGCTACAGCCCTCCTTTTAAAAAAATATATATTGTTATTTGTTTTGTTAAATATGTCCTAATTCCACTTAAAAATTTTTACATTGATTTTTTAAAATGTTGAGTTCCAAATTCTCTTCTTCCTCCCCCACTCCTTGAGAAATTAAACAATATGCTGGTGATTATACATGTGAGGTTATCCAAAACATGTTTCCATAGTGGCCATGTGGCTGCATCCCTTCTCTCATAAACTCAGTGCCTACTCCCTGTCCTCCCTAGGAAGTACAGCCTTTGGGGCAGAGTTTGGGGTCTGCAGATGAGACAGAGATGATATTTAAGAAGAATCCCAGGAGAGCCCTGAGGCCTTCAGGTAGCTCTCTTCCGCACTCCCCCTCTTTCGGGGCCGCAAGGTTGAGGGTGGGCCGGGCCTGGGGCAGCTCTTTTTAAATTTTGACTTTTGACCTCTTCTTCAGAGTATACTAGGTCTGTCATGGATCTTCGCCCGGGGGACTTAAGCCCTGGCAATGGCTCCTTGGGTGATAGAAGCAGGTCGGTACCAGGCCTCATTGCAGACATGGTAAGGGCCCTTCTGCACTACCTCTGACCACTATGTGACATTTTTTTTTTTAGGCAGTTGGGGTTAAGTGGCTTGCCCAGGGTCACACAGCTAGTAAGTGTCAAGTGTTTGGTCTGAGGCTGGATTTGAACTCAGGTCCTCCTGACTTCAGGGCCGGTGCTCTATCCACTGCGCCACCTAGCTGCCCCTGACATTTTTCTTCTTGTTCTTGTTCCGTCATTTCAGTCATATCTGACTCTCTGTGACTCCATTTGGGGTTTTCTTGATAAAGATACTGGAGTGGTTTGCCATTTCCTTTCCAGCTTATTTTACAGATGAGGAAACTGAGGCAATCAGAATTAAGTGACTTGACCAGGGTCACACGGCTAGTAAGTGTGTCTGACACCAGATTTGAACTCAGGAAGATGAGTCTTCCTGACTACAGGTCTGGCGCTGCATATCCACTGTGCCACCTTGCTGCCTATGACTATAAAATAGTCATCATCAAAACTCTTTGGTACTGTTTTAAAAATTGAATTCATTCAGCTAAAACAGAAATGGAAGCCATAGAACATAGTGGCCCAGCATTCAATGAACCCAAGAAGATATTAATTAATTGTTGGAAAAACTAGGAAAACGTTTGGTAGAGATTAAGTTTACATCAGAGTCTCACTATATACAGCACAGTAAACATCGATCGTACATGCATATGTGAACGTAAAAGGTCACAGCACATCTGAAAAAATTGGGGAGAATAGAAGAAGTACCATGGCTGCGGAAAGAATTGTTTATTTTTATTTTTTCTACTTAACAGTATTTTATTTTTTCCAATTACATGTCAAGATAGTTTTCAACATTCACTTTTATAAGATTTTGAGTTCCAAATTTTTTTTCTCCCCTCCTCAAGATGGCAAGCAATTGGATATAGGCTATACATGTACAATCATACTAAATATATTTTGCAGAGAGAATTGTTAACAAAATAAGTTTGTCATGACAGACAAAATTGACAAGTTCAGTTGAATAAAGTTTTAAAAGCTTTTGCATGAATAAAATCAATCCAGGTAAAATATGAAGAGAAATCATAACGTGGAGGGAAAAATTTGCACAAAGCATTATTGTTAAGTTTCAGATTTAAGCTGTCTCTAGGGAGTTTACGAAAATATCTGACCTCAGGCAATTTCCTGATAATAATAGTAGACAGATTATGACGAAAGTTTCCAGAAGAATTGCAAAATGTCTACAACCTTGTAAAAATGATGTAGATCATCAATAAAAATGCAAATTAAAGCAACTTTTAGGTTGCAACTCATACACAGAAAATTAGCAAAAATTACAAAGACAAAATATCGTTGGATGAGCTGTGGAAAAGCAGGCACACAGATACAATCCAACAAGCATTTATTAAGTTCCTATAGTATACTATGTTCCAAGCTTGGTGGTGGATGCTAGGGATGTAAAAACAAAAACCCGACCTCAAGTTTTATTGAAGCCTCTGATCATCAAAAATCAGTCATTGCCAGATCTGTGCAACTCATAATCGTTATGTCTCACAACACAATAATCTTCCATTATATTAAGGTACCACAGTTCATTCAGCCATTCCTCAATCGATGGGCACCCACTTGGTTTCCAGTTTTTTACTTCTGCTGGGTGACATTTGGGCTTTTGTTTTGTATGTGGAGTTGACCTTTAGCGATTAGTACTGTGTGAGCTCACACTTCTCAGATTTCCCAGACTTATTAATCCTTGATGAAAGGCAAAACCCAGCTCTCTGTTCTTGCAAATCTCCAAAGTCCAGTTGTCGATTCACATGTGTGAGACAGCTTTGTATATGCCTGAGACAGCAGAGGCAAAACCAGCTCCTAATTCCTATCACCCCAGATGCACTAATCTCACAATGAATCATACATCTCCTCAAATATTATTCTCATTTTGAATTCGAACATCTTGTTTCTTGCTTAGTACCACCTGTTTTTGGGGCTTTTTTGGAACCAACCACCTGTCCACCCACCTCTGGCTCCCTGACCTCTCCTGACTTCCTAGGCAACAGTACCCTTCACCTTGTCTGAGCTTGGGGACAGCGTGGTCTTGAGTACTCAATCTCAAGCTTGATTCTACATCATAATCCAGGGGAAAGAACACTGGGTTCAAATCCTGTCTCTTTCATAAGGCATTTCACCTTTCTGGGCCTCAGCTTTGTCATCTGTAAAATGAGGGAAAGGTGGACTAGATGATCCCTTCCTGCTCCAAGTCTATGATTATGTGAACTGTATTACACTGTATGTGTGTGTGGTCTTGTCTCTCTAATACTTACCTCAAATACATGTTGGTTGATTGAAATATCACCAATCAGGGGAAGAGATTCCCTCTCCTCCCAAGCTTTCTTGTTTTACTGATGCCTTTTGTTTTTACAATCATGGTCATTTGGGGTATGACATCCTTGTATACAAAGAAAAAGAGGTAAGCAAAGTCGACTGGCATGGTGACCACAACTGAGGGCAACATTCTGCACCCCTAGTTTCCTGGGTCTTTAAGGAAAACAGAGAGTTGTACTTAAGAGGAAGAGATTTCTAGCTCGTGGGCACATCTGGTGTGTTGCCCTTAGGTCCTTCCCCTCAGAAGCCTGGAGAGCAACTCTGAAGAGGTGACCTCTTTAGTAACCTGTGATGTAGGTGAAGTGGGTATAATACAAATGTCACAGCTTTGCAATTGACTGAGGTTTCTTTAGAGAAGAAACTTGACCACTGATATTCCAGAATCTTGCCTTTGTCCCTGAGCCTAACAGACCTCTTTATACTTCCAGGAGGAAGAGGAGGAGGAGGAAGAAGAAGACATTGATAGCCTGGTAGAAATCCATCGGCAGAAAACAGCAAGAAGCAGTCTGCGCAGTGGCTCTTCCTGGGTGAGTCAGCTTGGTTTTGTAACTACACTCCAGGGAGGGAGAGATCTCTTTCCTAGGACTGAGGAGAGATCTGGGGGAACCAACCCTGTTCCATGGAAGGGAAGGCAAATGCACAGGCTCACTGATACTTGGGGCCACATTTCAGGAAGGATGAGTTGGAGAGCCTCCAGAGGAGGGTGATCAGGTTGGCGAAGGGTCTCGAGGTCATGCGGAGGAGAATGGGTTGGAGATAGCAGCGATATTTAGCCTGGAGAAGAGATGGCTTTGGGTCAGGGGAACATAGGTAATGATAGCTGTGGTCAAGGATTGAAGGGCTGTCACTTGGAAGAGGGATTAGACATGTCTACTTGGCCCCAAAGGGCAGAGCTAGGACAAAAGATGGAGGCTGTAGAGAGGCAAAGTCATGCTTGATACCAAGAAGCTTTTCCTTCCGAAGCAGAGCTGTCCAACAGTGGCATGATCTGCTTCAGGGGATGGAGGGGCTTCTTTCTCTGGGGAGATCCTACTTTTCTTCCATCTTGTGAAGGGAGTTTCCTGGTCAAGTTTGGACTGGATGATATGGCCCCCCCGAAGCCATTGCCTGAGGGATTCTGGGACCTAAGCTTTAGCTGCTTGAGACAGGCCTAGGCAGGTTCCTAAGCTTCATCCTACTGTGCCCCTGGGTGAGGTTGGAAGGGAGCCTCTTACCTTAAGTAATGGGGGCTGGGACAATTTTGTATCATGGCCTTGAAAGCATTAACCAAATTCTCCCTTCTGGCACAAGGCAAAACGACAACAACTACCCAAATGAGTGAGATCCCAGTTCATTACAGCCAGCTCGTAATCCTCAGAACTGTTCTGGTAACGTCAGTTGGCCTAGAAAGGACAGAGGAAAAAGGACTTAAGCAAGGACTCGATTGCCAAGATCAGGAGGGTGATAAGAAAACCCTGAGCTTGCCCTTGGGAGATTCAAGCCATCTGGCTCAGCTGACTGTGTCTTTGGGTGTTATCACTGAGCCTCTGTCATAGACAGTGGGAGAGGGACCACAGGATTGGAGAAGGGACCACTGCCAACCTGAAAGCACTCGGCGAATGCTAGCTATTAATAATAATGATAATAGCAATAATAATAAATGTCCTGATCTTCAAAAAATTGAAGAGAAGAGTCTTGAAAACTATATGCTAGGGAACCTGACTGTGATTCCTGGCCAAATTCTAGAGCAGATCATCAAAGAGCTAGCTGGAGAATATCTCAGAAGAGAAGCAGTGACTGTCAAGAGCCAGCAAGACTTCATCAAGAACAGGTTGTAGTTTGCCTAGATTTCAGCAAGGCATTTTAATAAAGTTTCCCATGCTATTCTGTGGGCAACTAGGTGACTCAGTGGGTAGAGCTCTGGACTCAGAGTCCAAACCTGAGTTCAAATTCTGCCTCAGACATCTACTAGCACTTAATCTCTCTCAGCCTCAGTTTCCTCATCTGTAAAATGGAGATAATAATAGCATCTGCCTTGCAGAGAAATAGTGAGGATATAACAAGATACTATGTCAAGACAGTGCTCTGCAAACCTTAAACCACTAGATAAATGCTAACTTTTATTATTATTAGACCAGGAAGCACCAGACTTTTATGACTGTGTGCTCCATTACAAAAAAAAAAATATTTGAGCCTGTCTCCCTAATGTGTGTATATTTACTTCTTTATAAATTATACTTATGCTATTGTGCTCCTAATTGTGTACATTATAAAACTTAACAAAAATAGAAATTAAGAAGTGCTAAGATATGTGATCTCAGGGTCAATAGATAGCCACTGAAGTTTACTGAGTAGAAGGGTGACATGGTCAGACCTGTGCTTTAGGAAAAATCACTTTGGCAGCTGTGTGGAAGATGTCCTGGAATGGGGAGGCCAAATCTGAGGCAATACCACAGTAATTTTCTCTCCTAAGATTAAGTAGTAGAGTTCATGGGGAAGAGCAGAGGGTACCACCAGGAGAGGGAAGACTGAAGATAGTACTGGCAACCTAGGTGGCCTTCAGCTACTTGCTCTGGGCCCAGAATACTAACTCTCCTCTATCTGTTCCTTCTCTCAATTTCTTTCTTAAAATCTTTCTCATTTTCTTCCTTCCTTCCTTCCTTCCTTCCTTCCTTCCTTCCTTCCTTCCTTCCTTCCTTCCTTCCTTTCTTTCTTTCTTCCTTCCTTCCTTCCTTCCTTCCTTCCTTCCTTCCTTTCTTTCTTTCTTTCTTTCTTTCTTTCTTTCTTTTTTTTTTTTGGTTAGGCAATGGGGTTAAGTGACTTGCCCAGGGTCACATGGCTAGTAAGTGTTATGTGTCTGAGGCCGGATTTGAACTCAGGTCCTCCTGAATCCAGGGCTGGTGTTCTATCCACTCGCCACCTAGCTGCCCCTCATTTTTTATTTCTTAACATAACTCATATACATTATGAATATATCAAAGTTCACACACACCCTGTGGTGTGATGATGAGGTTATTGAGCACCTACTATGTATCAGGCTTGTAATCATACTCTTGGCTGATTCATTTTCTCTTTACCACTGATCCCACACCATGTCCTCTATTTTATGTGTGACTAGACATGCACCATTCTGTACCCCTGGTCCCCCTACTCTCCCACAAAAGGAGGGAGGTGCATTTCTTCAGCTTTCCTCCAAGGCCAAGCTGGGCATCATAGTTACCCAGTGTTCAGCTTTGTTTTTAAAGCTCTTTCCATTTGTGGGGTAGTCTTATCTTGGTGTAAATTATTTTCCTGGTTTTGCCTACTTCACTTTGCAGCGGTTTAAACAAGTCTCATGATTCTTTTTTTTCCACTTCCATAAGCTTTCGAGTTTAAATTTTTTCTCCCCCTCCCTCCCCAAGATGGCACGCGATCTGATATAGGCTTTACATATACATTCCTATTAAACATATTTTCATGTTAGTCATGTTGTAAAGAAAAATCAGAACCAATAGGAGGAACCACCAGAAAGAGGACACAAAACACAACATAAAAAATAGGAAATAGTGTGCTTCGATCTGCATTCCAATTCCATAGTTCTTTCTTTGGATGTGGATAGCATTTTCCATCAAAGTCTCATGATTCTTTGACTTCCTCATAGTTGTTTCTTACAGCATAATAAGAAATTACATCTAAATTAAATTCACGGATCATGTGGTTTGTTCAGCCATTCCCTAATCAATAGACATTCACTTCTACCTACATTCATTCTGTGTTTGTTTGAATATTTTGGTGTATATGGGATCTTTCATTCTGTCTTTGATTTCCTTGGGAACATATGGCCAGTGTGGGATCTCTGGGACAAAAGGCATAAATGGTTTGGTGACTTTTTAAAAGCATAATGCCAAAATGTTGAAGAATAGTTAGATCAATCAATTCATGCAATGCTGCTTGTCTTTCTAAATCCCCACCAACACTGACTATTTCAATCTTTTGTGATGTTTGCTGTTTTTACAGGTGTGCAGTGAAACCTTAGGGTTATTTTTTAATGTTTACTTTTCTTATTAGTGATTTGGAACAGTCTTTCTTGTGATTGTTGGTAGTTTGAAATTCTTCTTTTGAAAACTATTTGTTCATATTTTTTGCCCACTTGTCTGTTGTAGAAAGTTTTATGTATTTCTATGAGTTCCCAACATATCATCGAAAGTAGACTTTTATCAGAAGTATTTGATGAAAATATTTTCACCTCATGGACACGTGCATTGATTTTATTTGTGTAAGATATTTTTAGTTTTATGAAGTTGTATTTTTTCATTTTCTCTTTTATGATCATCTCCATTCCTTGTGTGGTTAAGAATTCTTCCCCTAGCCAGAGTTTTGCAAGATGCCTCCTTCCATTATCTAACTTTATCATAATGTGACCTTTTATGCATAGGTCATATATCCATTTGGGGCTTACTGTGGTATATGGTATAACATACTGGTTTAAAACTAATTTCTGCTAAGGTGCTTTCCGATTTTCAACAATCACTTGTTGAATCAATCAACAAGCCTACTTGTTGTGTGCCTACCATGTGTCAGGCAAGCACTGTGCTAGGCATTGAGGCTACAAGTACAAAGAATGAAACAATTCCTACAGGTAGGGAGCTTAATGTTCTAATGGGGAAGACAAAAAAAAAACAACAAATTGGAACACTTCTATATACAAAAAAGAACGAGGGGAGAGGGGGAAGATTGTATTGAGCACATGCATCTCTATTATACACAATCTGGGTTAAAAACAAAACATACAATTTACCACATTAGTTTCAAAGCTGCCCTGCTGGTTTGTGAATCCCTCAGAACTTTCTTCCATAGGTTTTTCTAAATGCTTCATTAAACGCTAAATGCCCTTTTTTAGTGTTTGGTTGTGGTTTTTTGATTCATTACTTGCTTCCTAGCAGTTCTCGTGGAATTGGGAGTCCTTGCTCCAGTAATTTCTCTTCTTGTTTTTTTTCACCTCTGGGCTTGCTTTGGACTTTGTTTCTGATTCTTGCCAATCTAGTCTGTGTCAGTGATGAACTTTTCTATGTTTTGGTTGAGTCGTTTTTCAGTCATGTCTGACTCTTCGTGACCCCATTTGGGGTTTTCTTGGCAAAGATACTGAAATGATTTGCCATTTTCTTCTCCAGCTCGATTTACATATGAGGAAACTAAGGCAAACGGGGTTAAGTGACTTGCCTAGGGCCACCCAGCTAGTAAGTGTTTGAGACCAGATTTGAACTCATGAAGTTGAGTCTTTCTGACTCCAGGCCTGGCTCTCTATCCACTGCAGTGTCACCTAGGTGTCCTATTCTATTTTTTTTAAACCAGTAGCAAATGATTTTCATATACTTTGAAGTCTGGATGGGGTATTCATCCCTTCATTCCTACTTTTTTCCCCCTCATTTCTCCTGTGATTCTAGACCTTTTGTTTCTCCAAATGAATTCTGTTGTTATTTTACCTAGTTCTATAATGTAACCTTCTTGGTAGTTTGATATAGCATTATTTCGGTAGTATCATCATTTTTATTTTGGTAACCCTGAAAGAGTATTTTATAATTTTATTTACATGAGTCTTTCATATGTCTTTTCTTTTTGAATGGGCCCATTTGCTTTTTGAGAGGCAGTGTGGTATAGTGGATAGAATGCTGCTCTTGGAGTTTGGAAGACCTAGTTTCAGATTCTTCTTCTGCTAACCATGTGACCCTGGGCAAGTGTTTCCGTCATCCCTCGTGCTCTCTCCAGCACCAGCTGGCCTCCTCTTGGGAGCTCACGTATTTTTAAAGAAATCTCATGTGTTGCTTTGGGTATCCAGGTCTTTGCTCACAGTGTGCTAAATCCTCTTTCTACCTTGCGTGGGTCTTTCCAGTACTCCTTGGGTGTCCTACAAGTTTGAGTCCTTGAAGAAAGTGGTATTTTGTGATTCCCAGCCACAGAGCCTTGCCAGAAGAATATCAAGGTTAAAAAGATGGCCTTCTGTTTGACATAGCAGAAGCCCCAGAGCTCAAACTCCTCTGGCCTGGCCTTTGGGAACTTGTAGTGTTGAGGGTACCATGAGTTCTCACGGGCTGTGCCAAGGACGACAAGCTCTGGCAGGTTCTACCAGGCGAGAATGTTCAGTCTAGATGGCAGGCTGTGTCTGCTTTCTAATAACTGGCTCATCCAGGCATAGAGGCTTAGCGGCAATAGACTGCCACTTTGGCTGTGGTGACTCAGGAACAAAAGACCTGCCCCTGGCATGGAGCAAGAACTGAGTAGTTTGAACTTCATTTCTTCTCTCTGTCCCCATAGCCAAGGTGGAGGTAAGTAAAGAAATGCACAAAAGCCTACCGGGAAAAGGAAAACAATGGATAGTAGCCCATGTCATGTGTTCCGTAGTTTCTACATGATGTTAAGAGATGTATAAAGAGGCCTTCCATATGTTGAGTAGACCCCCCTTAACTCCCCACTTTATGGGGATCTACAAGGAGGACATGCACAAGAGGTGTAAGGATGGGCAGGAATGGAGGGCTCTCAGGTCAGATTTGGATTTTACCATTTTCTCTCTGCGAGACCTTGAACAAGTCACTGAACCTCTCTGGGCCTCAGTTTCTTCATCTTTAAAAGGAGGGGATTGGATAATATGACCTCTGAGGTCTCTTTCATCTCTAAATCTAGTATTCTCTGAAAAGCAAACAGCCTAGGTCATCTACAAAGTACCTAATTGACATTTTAAAATGTTTTAAAGTGATTGAAGGAAATGCTCAATTTTAGCTAGAAGATAGTGAAAATCAAGATAGAATTTTTTCCCCCTCTGAGTTCACTGACCCTCCACCCCGGAAGTCTTTCTGTGGCCTTCAGGCCAAGAACCCCTGTTTCAGCGTGAGTTGCCTAGCATACGTGCACTGTTCCTAACTCCTGGCTCATGGTGCTCATGGCAAGGTTTACTGCCAAGCTTTCTGGGCCTTTCCTGTGGGGTTAGTTCTAGAGGGACCTGTGGGACAGCATCGAGGCTCCCCAGACAGGAACTCTATGGCATAGTTGGGCTTTATTCTCTCCAGAGCACACTGGGCAGCATGGTGAGCATCTACAGTGAGGCTGGTGAAGTCAGTAACATCTTGATAACGGGTGAGATTGCCATCTCCCTGAAGTATGAGCAGCCCTCCCAGACCCTGCTGGTCCATGTGAAGGAGTGCCGCCAGCTGGCGTTTGCTGATGACATCAAGAAGCGCTCAAACCCGTGAGTGCTGCCCAAACTTGACTCTGAGTGCCTAGGGTGAGGGAGAGCCCCTCCCCCCCAGAGCCAGGGGCTGAGGAGGGAGAGCTGAAGGGTACTGGGGTCAAGGAGTAAGGGTATGGAAGTGCTGGAGCAACAGCAAGGGGACATTTCATGCTTTGAGTGTGTGTGTGTGTGTGTGTGTGTGTGTGTGTGTGTGTGTAGGAGCAGTAGGTGAGGGATTTGGAGGAGACCCCAGTGAAGCAACTGGCATTTGCAATGTTCTCCAGGTATGTGAAGACTTACCTCCTGCCTGACAAATCCCGACAGGGGAAACGCAAAACCAGCGTCAAACAAGGCACTGTCAACCCAATGTTTGATGAGATTTTCCGAGTGAGTACCCCCCACTACCGGGGCAGATGGCATTTCAGGCTCCTATCTGTGGCATCTCACTTGTACCTGAATGGGTCACCTCAGTGCCTGCACAAACACTGAGGGAGGGCACATAGCTGCCCAGACTGTGGCCTGAGAGGGAGGAGAGAATACTTCCCAGATGCCTGGGGCTGTTGGGAAGTAGAGACCCAGATGGCCCCAGGTTTCACTTGATCAGTCACTTGGGGTAATGGGCTCCTTCACTGTTCAAGGTCTGGAGGCCTCCCTCCCAACTCAGAGATAAATAATCAGTTCTGTGCTAGGTCTTCCCTTGGGGATGTGGTAGCTGTGTGAGAGAGGGAAGGGGGGAGGAATTAGGTCTTAGCACAAAGAAACTGAAAGAGTGGGCATGCCCTTATAATTAGTAACCCAGGTCTGGGCAGAAAGGAGAGGCCATTCATTGCCTTTTTGGATTGGCTGAGGCTGAGGCTCCCCTGGGGTGACTAGTTCTAGAATCCTTGCCCTGTGTGGATAGGGCTCCACATCTCTGCTCCCCTTGACCCTGGGCATCTGTGCTGTTTTCCACAGTATGAGATCCCCAAATCCCTGCTGTCTCAGAGGGTCTTACAATTCTCTGTCTGGCACCATGGCCGTTTGGGCCGCAACACTTTCCTGGGAGAGGCTGAGCTCAACATGAATTCCTGGAAGCTTGACAGGCCTCTTGATCAGTGGCTCCCCTTGCATGGAAAGGTATGGCTACTTCCCACTCTCAATAGCATCTTGTTTGTTTTTTAAATGAAAATTTTATTGAAACTTTTTCTTTCTATATTATATTCATATACTCCTCCCACTCCACACCCCAACCATCTATACATCCATCCATGCATCCATCCATCCTTTCCTCAGAACCAAGAGAAACAGGCAAAACCAGCTGACACAGTGGCCATTTCTGAGAGAGTACACATTCCTCACCCATAGTTCCTCTCCCCACCCACCCCACGCCCCTCCACTCTAAGGTGAAGAGAGCTACATTTCTTCATCTCTTCTTCAGGGCCAGGATGGAGCATTACAATTTCACGGCATCCCGTTTCATCATAGTATTCTTTCTATCTGCATTATTGTAGTCATGCTACGTAATTATTGTAGTCATCTTTTCCTCTCACTTTCCTGCTTCCACTTCCTTCACTCTGTATCAGTTCATATGGGTCTTCTCATGATTCTCTGATTTCCTCGTATTTGTCATTTCTTACCACACAGTTATATTCCATGATATTCCTATCTCACAATTTATTCAGCATTTCCCCAAACAATGGTTGCCCACTTGGTTTTCAGCTTTGTGAGAAGCAACTCAATAGAGACTGCTTGTGTCTCAAATCCGCTAGGTCTTGATTTGAACTTCCAGGACCTCCTAACCAGATGTTGCTCATTCTTTTGAATGTAGTTGGCAGGGTTCTCCTGCCCCCTTCTGGTTTCTATATGTACTTATGGTTTCGTGTGCACGCACATGCGCACCCCCGCCCCCCGCCGGGGCCTACAGTTACCTCTTGACAAATTGGGTTTTCTGTTAGACTACAGTGGCAGAAATTGTAAAAAAAGATTTTTTTAAATTCTTTTTTTTGGGACCAGACCTGTGATTTCCTCTGTGTGGGGAAATGCCTTCTACTGATGCAGATTGGTTATAAAACTTACAGTCTTTTTTTTTTTTTCAATTTTTAAAAATAATTTTTATTTAAAGTTTTGAGCTCCAAATTCTATCCCTCCTCAAGACAGTAAGCAATCAGATATAGGTTATACATGTGTAATTATGTAAAACATTTCCTTATTAGTCATGTAGTGTAAGAAGACTCAAACAAAAGAAAAAAATGAAAGTAAGAAAATAAAAAATAGAATGCTTCAATCTGTATTCAAACAATATCAGTTATTTCTCTGGAGGCAGATAGTATGCTTCATCATTTGTCCTTTGGGATTATCTTGGATCATTATATCATTGAGGATAGCTAAGTCATTCACAGTTCTTCATCAAACAATATTGCTGTTACTGTGTACAACATTCTCCTAGTTCTGTTCACTTCACTATATATCAGTTCATGTAAATCTTTCCAAGTTTTTCTGAACTCATCCTGCTTGTTATTTCTTACTGCACAATAATATTCCATTACAATTATATATCACAACTTGTTTAGTCATTCCCCAATTGATGGGCATCCCTTTGATTTCCATTTCTTAGCCACCACAAAAAGAGCTGCTATAAATATTTTTGTACAAATAGGTCCTTTTCCCTTTTTTTTGGATGTCTTTGGGATATAGACCTAGCCGTGGTATTGCTGGATCAAAGGGTTAGGCTTAGGGTTAGCTTTATAGCCCTTTGGGTGTAGTTCCAAATTGCTCTCCAGAATGGCTGGATCAATTCACAACTCTACCAACAGTGTATTAGTGTCCCAGTTTTCCCACATCCCCTCCAACATCCAACGTTTTCCTTTTTTTTGTCATATTAGTCATCTGATTGACATGAGGCGGTACCTCAGAGTTGTTTTAATTTGCATTTCTCTAATCAATAGTGATTTAGAGCATTTTAAAATATGACTATAGATAGCTTTGATTTCTTTGTCTGAAAACTGCCTGTTCATATCCTTTGATCATTTATCAATTAGGGAATGACTTGTATTTTTACTACATACTTGAGAAATGAGGCTTTCATCAGAGATACTTGTTGCAAAATTTTTGTCCCTTTTTTTGCTTTCCTTATAATTTTGGTTGCATTGGTTTTGTTTATACAAAAACCTTTTAATTTTATATAATCAAAATTATCTATTTTACATTTTGTAATGTTCTCTATATTTTCTTTGGTCCTAAAGTAGCTTACAGTGTTAAGAGAGCTGCGTAGGGCTCAGAGAGCTTATGTGACTTGCTCAGAGACACATAGCCAGTATGTTTCAAAGGCAGGACTTGATCCCAGGTTTTCCTGACTCCAAGACTATACTATATCATGCTGCTTCTTAATTTAATAATAAGTATATAAATATCTAACTGATTGATGATGCTTTGGAAATCCAAATTTGGATTCATGACTGTATTGACTATATATATCTTGTCCAAAGAAGTTTTGCCAACTTTACCTTGAATTAAGTTTTCCCTGGTGGTGTCATTTACCTCATTTTTTTTTTTTTTTTTGGCTAGGCAATGGGGTTAAGTGACTTGCCCAGGGTCACACAGCTAATAAGTGTCAAGTGTTTGGTCTGAAGCCAGATTTGAACTCAGGTCCTCCTGACTTCAGGGCCAGTGCTCTATCCATTGTGCCATCTAGTTGCCCCGCCTCATTTTTTTTTTTAAAAAAGCTTTTCTTGGGTAGAAGGATTACATTCACTGATACAACACTCCCCTTTTCTTTTTTCCTTCATGCCCTCTTCATATTTCTACTATAAAATGATGAGTTTGGGATGAAGAGGGGGGAAGAGAATTGGCTGGTTAGGGTTATATCAGCAGCTAGGACCCAGGTCCAGACAACTTTTTTTTTTTTAACTTTTCACATGTTAAAAATAACTTTAATTTCAGAATCATATGCCCATATACCTATCGCCTTTTAGTTTTTTTTTTAAGTACCATTTTTTTAAAGGTTTACATGCAAAACAAGTTTGTTTGCTTTAATTGTGGGTAGCAATTCAGATTCACCTGTAGATTATCATAGGATTCAGGGCATTTGCATTTTTCTTACTTCATCAGCTTCACTGTCTGTTACTACAGACTATAATATAACTCCAGAGCTGGAAGAGCCCTTCCATATCATCTTGTCCCACCCTGGCATTTTACAGACAAGGAAATAACAAATTGAGGAGCTTTACAGGATACAGAACCCTTCTTTCCTTCCTTCCTTCCTTCCTTCCTTCCTTCTTTCCTTCCTTCCTTCCTTCCTTCCTTCCTTCCTTCCTTCCTTCCTTCTTTCTTTCCTTCCTTCCTTCCTGTTCTGGTAAACCCAGTTTTACTTATATGTGTCTATATTACCTAAAGTTTTTTTTAAAAATTTTTGGAATAAAATTTTTGCCCAAGAATTTGTTATCTTTCCCTCTCACTGTCCCCCTACCATTGAACAATAAAAAAAAAGAAAAAGAAGTCTTATACACAAATATGCATAATCCAACCTAACAAACTCTGGTCATGTCAAAAAATGTTACAGCTTGTTCTGCCTTTGAAGTCCATTATGCCCCGCCTACTTCATTGTCAGTCCTCCAGAATTGTGGTTTATCGTTGTATTGCTCAGAGTTTTAAAGTCTTTCAAAATTATTTTTCTTCATATTGTATAAATCGTTCTCCTGGTTCTACTCACTTCACTTTGTGTTCTGTCCCAGTTTCCTTCTGAATCTTCCCAGTTTTCCTCTGAAACTGTCCATTTTGTCGTTTCTTTTTGTACACTAATATTCCATTATATTAATGAACCATAGTTTGCTTAGCTATTTCCCAACAGGTGGGTACCTCTTAGTTTTCAGGTTTTGCTTCTTCAAAAAGAACCTTTATAAATATTTGTTTACATATATATATGAGACCTTTTCGTCTTTCTTTTTTTGTGTGAGGCAATTGGGGTTAAGTGACTTGCCTAGGGTCACACAGCTACCTTTTCTTCTTTCTTTGATCCCTTTGGGGTATAGATCTAGTGATGAATCTTTGACCCATCACTGGGTCAAAGGGTACACACAGGTTAGTAATCACTTTTGGGGCATGGTTCCCAATTGCTTTCTAGAACGACTGGAACAATAATTCCCAGTAAACAGTGTACCTGTTTACCCCCATCCCTTCCAACACTTGTCATTTTCTTCTTTGTCAGCTTTGCTAGTCTGATGGGTGTGGGCTGGAGCCTCAGAATTGCTTTAATTTACATTTTTCTAATTATTAGTGATTTGGAATATTTTTTCATATGGCTATAAATAGCTTGGATTTCTTCCCTTGCGATCTACGTGTTCATATCCTTTGACCATTTATCAATTGGGGAATGCAAGTTTGAATCAATTTCTTATGTTCTCTGTGAAGATGAGACATTTTGGAGAGAAACTTGATGGTATCTCCCCTCCCCCCTGCCCAGGTAGCTATCCATAGCCACACTGGATTTGTTTGTGCAAAACCTTTTTAATTTTGTGTTAGCAAAATTGTCCAGGTCTTCTTCTATGATCCTCTTTAACCCTTGATTGGTTATGAACTCTTCCTCTTTGCGTAGGTCGCAAAGGTACTTTTTATCCTAGCCCCTCTCATATCAAGGGCTTTGGTTTATTTGGAGCTTGTCTTGGTATGTGATGTGAGCTGTAGGTCTGTCCCTAATTTCTGCCAGTTTTCCTAGCTTCCTAGTTTTCCCAGCAGTTTTTGTTAAACTGAATCTTTACCCTAGTAGGTAGGGTCTTTGGGTTTAATCAAATTTGATTGCTAGATTTGTTTGCTTCTGTTTATTGCATACCTAATCTGTTCCACTGATTTAACTCTCTCTTTTTTAACCAGTACCAATTTATTTTGATGATTATGGCTTTTTTTTTTGATATATTGCTTTCATTACTTCTCTTGAGATTCTTGATTTTTTGCTCCTCTAGATAAATTTCACTATTATTTTTTTCTAGCTCTATAACATCCTTCCTTTTTATTTTTCACTTAAATTAAAAGTCATGGCTTATCATAATAGTCTATAAACAGATATAGGCAGCTGGGAGGCACGGTGGTTAGAGTGGTAGGCCTGGAGTCAGCAACACCTGAGTTCAAATCCAGCCTCAAACACTTATTAGCTGTGTGACCCTGGGCAAGTCACATCACTCTGTTTGCCTCAGTTTATTCATCTATAAAATGAGCTGGAGAAAGAAATGACAAACCACTCCAGTATGTTTGCCAAGAAAACCTCAGAAATAGTGTCACAAAGAGTTGAACATGACTGAACAATAATAATAAAATTGTAAACATATTTACCCATGTCTGTTACACGTAACCTGGAGGTGCTGCTTTAAATAGAACTCCATCTGCCTCCCTCCCTCTTCTCTCTTTTTGTAAATGTAAGTATCAAAACAATCCTGAACATTTTTTAATACTATTAACAGTTGGTGCCCATACCTCTTCAAAACTTAAACAAAATTAGCAACAGTATTTATTGTAACTGCTACTTTAAATAATTGAAATTCTAGCTCTTTCCCTAGGCAAGGTGGTTAGAGCATGCCTTTTCCATTTTGAGAAATTAGATTTCCAAAATATATTCTACTCTATAGCAACTGAATGCTTCTTGTCATGTTTTGATCTTGGAGAGCCCAAATTCTGCTTGGGGTACTCCAGGTTTGTGCTTATGTGATAGTGCCTTGAGAAGAGAAAGAAATGATTACATTTAAAATAATACGTTCATAAATCAAAACAAATATCTTCTTACCAACGTCCAGATCACGCACACCAGCTGGGATTCTTTTAACATATGGGTTTTACATTGGGAAGATTTATTCAAGACATTAACCTGAGTAGAAGGTTATTACTTTAAGACAAGACTGAGATCTCTTAAAAATGAATTGCTATATTTTGTCCCTGTGGAGGTTGGGAAAGCTTCTGTGGACATCATTAGATGTCTTAGGCCTTGGAGTTCAACTTCAATGCCAATAGAATTTTGCCCAGTTTGCTCTTCACACAAGTATGCTCTTCACACAAGTATGCTCTGTGCATCCACTGTTCTGTTAGAAGGAATCATGCATCTCATTCGTATTAATTGTTGTTTCAGATCTAGCTGCTGGAGGTTCTTTTGGGCATTTACATCCACACTCCACTTTCAGATGCCATATTTTCATAGTTTGTCCTAGGCCCGCTAATCATGCCTATCTACCTTATAAGGGTAATTTCATCATCTTTAAGTCTCTAGCTAACTGTACCATTGCCTACTCCTTTGGCCTTCTTCAGAGTGTTCTAACAATTGAAAATTATGTGGAACTTTCATTCCTAAGGAGGTTACCAGATTCTTCCATTGCCTTGTAGGATGCACACCTAGACGGCGTCCTACTAAGCAATTTTCTAAAGATCCAAATTGGATATTCTTCTTCCTCTTGGAGGCAGGGACTGTTTGGTTTGTCTTTGTATTTCCAGTGTCTAGCCCAGAATCTGGAACATAGTCACTACTTAATAACTGTTAAATTGAATTGGCTACTATTCCCCTGTAGATCAGTGGTCAAAGGATATGAACGGGAAATTACCAAAGGAAAAAATATAAGGCATGAACGACTATATTAAAAAATACTCCAAGTCACTAATAGTTAGAGAAATTAAACTAAAGCAGTTCTGAAGTTGCAGCTCATGCCCACCAGACTGGCAAAGATGACACGTGAGGAAAATGGCAAATGTTGGAGGGACTTCAGAAAGAAAGGCACATGAATGTTCTGTTGGTAGCGATGTTAATTGGTCCAGTCAATCGGGAATTATGCCTCCCATATTCCTGAATGGTGCCTATGCTTTGACCCAGAAACACTTCTATTAGATCTCTACCCCAAAGTGATCAAATAAAGAAGATTCATATATACATAAATATGTATAGCAGCTGATTTTGGTGGAGCAAAGAATTTGACGTTAAATGGGTGTCATCTCCTGGGGAATGGTGAATAAATTACAGTATACTGAATGCCTTAGACACTAGCTATGTGACCCTGGGTGAGTCATTTAACCTCTCTCAGCCTCAGTTTTCTCATCTGTATAATGGGGATACTAATAGCACCTACCACACAGGAATGTCGTGAGGATCAAATGACATAAGATACATAAAACCTTTAAATACTGTGTGGACCCTTGTAGTGACAGTGATGGTGGTGATGTGCCATAAGGATGATGGGAGGACCATAAGAGAGACCATTGAGAAGACTTGTACTTTGAAAGACTTAAGAATAATGCAATGACCAACCTTGATGCCTGAGAACTGATGATAGAGCAAGCTGCCCACCTCCTCACAAAGGTGATAGAACCAGAAGGCAGAATGGGACAGACATGTTTTGAACATTGTCGATATGGACATTTGTTCTCTCTCTCTCTCTCACACACATGTACGCACGCAGAGGTATATACATGTTCTCTCTGTCTGTCTGTCTCCCTCCCTCTCTCTCTCTCTGTGTCTCTGTCTCTCTCCCTCGCTCTCTGTCTCTCCCTCTCTGTCTCTGTCTCTCTCTCTCTCTGTGTGTCTCTCTCTCAAGGGTTTTGTTTTTCTTTTCCATAGGGATTGAGGGAGTGGGGGGGAAGGCGAAGGGAACTATAGATTGGCTGCAAAAAAAGGAAGGAAGGAAAGAGAACCATTGAATCACTTTGAAATACACGGTAGAGGACAAAAGGAATGCCAAAAGAAATCACAGACAAGTAGGACAGTTTAAAAGGCGTATGTTGAATTTCTTAAAAGAAAGGCAAGCTGTACATAATTGAGATTTGGAGTTTCACATATAAGCCTCTTTTTCCTGTTCTCCCACGTAGGTGGAAACGACCATTTTACTTGGTCTTAGCTATATTCGGAACAAAGAAACAAAAAGGAAATGAATTCACTGCTAATCGTGTGCCATCTAAGGGGTTCCATTCTATACAGCCCTTTGCCTGTTGGAGTCTCGTTGGTGGGTAGGAAGGAGAGCTGAGAGCTCCTGGTGGAGTTTTCTCTCTAGCTCTGACCCCAGCCCCAAGCTGAGTGATGGAATTCTACACTGGTGGCTGATGAGGCAGGGAGGGACACAGAGAAAAGTGGTTGAACGGGTTTTTGTTAAGTCTTTTCTGGCTTTTAACAAGCTACCTCTTTTGGACTCCAAAGAGCTTCTTAAGCAAGTAGCTTGTGTGGCAGTCAACTCCTTGGGTGCCAACAGGAGCCTCAGCTCTTGGGGGCTTAGATATCAGGCCTCTCTGCTTGGGTATATTGGAGCACATAGTAGGCACTTAGGATCATATGGCCACAGATTCAAAGCTGAAAAGGATCTTAGAGGTCATCTAGGCCAACCTTCTCTCTTCATAGATAAGGAAACTGAGGCCTGGGGGAGGGAAGGGACTTGCCCAAGATGCTTACATGGGTAACAAGTAACATAGCTGGTATATGATCTCCATTAATCTGATTTCAAATCCAGCATTCTTTCCACCACACCATGCTGTCTCCCTTCATAAATGTTTTTGGATTAAACCAAAATGAAGTGTTTAGAATTTGGTGTGTGTATTCCCAAGGCAGCATGGATAGTGAGCAAAGCAGAAGGACCCTTTGTTGCTGTGACTCCGCTTTCTCTAAAGAACCACCACCCCAGCATTTGTGGCCGCTGCCTAGAGCAGGTTGTGTATTATGGGATGTCGAAGGGTGTTCCTGTGCTGGGATAAGCAGCTCCCAGCTGCACCCAAACACCAGCCACTGAGCCCCTAGTGACTTGGGGGGCTTACTTGTGTTTCAGATCAGTGCTGAGGCCCTGGCTAGCATCCTGCCACAGAAGAGCGAGTTGGTAGTTTCATTGAAATACATTCCAGCCTCCAAACTGCCTGTTGCTGGAGACCACAAAAAAAGTAAGTATCCTCTGAAGCAATTGGCTGTAATTATTTCAGTTTTGGCCAGAACACCAAATGCCTTGGTTATGAAGGTTTGCCTAGCATCTGGGAGAGGAGATTGAGGGGTGGTCCTAGCTGCTAGGCTTCCTGGGAAAGACTAGGCTGATGTGTGTGAACCCTAAATGCCTTTGGCCATCCTGGCCTTACTGGCTCCCCCCATGCTCTCCCAGCCTCAGGCTGGGATCTCATTTCCTGGATCTCATTCTTTGGAGGGAGACCTTGTTCTGTCTGTGGAGATGTCTGTTACTCTGAACTGAATTTGATTTTGATTCGGTTGTGACCGCTGCTGAACGCTAGAGAACATACTCACCGTGGCTCGTCTCCTTTCCAGGCAAAGTTGGAGATGGAGGAGAACTCCAGGTGTGGATTAAAGAAGCCAAGAATCTGCCCGCTGCCAAATCTGGAGGCACCTCGGACAGCTTTGTTAAAGGGTGAGTCTTTAGCCAAGTTGGCCCTGACTAGTGGAAGGATGAGAAGGCCAAGAGAGAGGACGTTCCCTGGAATTCCATCCTTAGCTTCCCCCTGGCCTTTGTCCTGAAAGATGGAGGCAGCATTTCATTGCACTGAACCTCTCCCTTGAGACTCGACCCAGCTTGGATTTTGATGACAGAACTGGAACAGAGTGGGACACTTAATAATCGACACCGTCATCATCATCATCATCATCATCATCATCATCACTGTTATTTTTTGACTCAGCCCTGTGATTTCATTGGTGTAGGGAACTCTCAGAAAGGAAACTCCTTTTAGCAAGGATTCTAACCTGGGGTCCATGAACTTGTAAAAGAAAATATTTGGATAACTGCATTTCGATGTAATTCGTTTCCTTTGTAATTCTATGCATTTAAAACCATTCTTCTGAGAAAGAAGGGGTCCATAGATCCAAAGGGGTCAGGTACCTGAGACCAAAAAGGTGACGCACCCCCCTCTCAGTGGCCTGTCTGTAGCACTGCCCAGGGCCACAAGCCAGTGGGTGTTAGAGGGGGAATTTGGACCCAGGTCTCTGACTTCATGAGCAGTCTTCTCTTGCCATCCTACACTGGCCTCTGACTAAACACCCTCCTAGCTGTCATTCATCCAGCACTTTCAGGTTGTCAGAATGCTTTGTAGACATACTCTGAGCCTCACACCACAGTCTTAGGAGAGGGAGGGGCTATAGTCACCCTCATTTTGGAGGGCCTGGGTGGGGTTTGTGCCCTCTGCTGCTGCTTCCTCATGGCATAGTGGTGGTGGGATTCTCGAAGGTGTCTTCAAGACCTTAGTGGGTCTTACCAAGGGGAAAAGGTTTCAAGGAGGAACGTGAAGATACCAGGTGTGCAGAGGGAGGCTCATGACCAGGTTGGCCAAAGGGTGGTGACAAACAGCTCTCAAAGACTATCTCTGGAATCCTAGAGGGGTGAGGTCTGGGTGAAAGGAGCACTCATGCTCAGATGAGTCTCCATTTAATCTTATGAAATAACAACACCCCCTCTCCTTCCCCTTCCTCCAACACATGGCTTCTCAAGCATTTGGATGTTACCAATAAAGTAGCCCCACTTAATGGAGTAACAGACTGCCAGCATTGTCCAAGTCCCGGATCTCCCTTCTGACCCAGCTCTGATGTTGACGGGTACCTGTGAAGTTCTTTTATAAGTCGTGTCTGATTAGACATAGGGCTTTCACTAGGACCTGGCCCATCTCTGCCCCCTCCCTCCATTCATTTTCCGTGATACATTCATTAACCTGAGAGGCAGCATGACATATCAGATACAGACAGGACCTTGGAGTCAGGAAGACTTGGGTTTAAATCCCAGCATGGGCTGGTAACTTAACCCCTTTCTAGCCTTCTAGGTCATTGTTTGGATAACACTTAGCCAAACTTTAAAATGCTATTAAGATGTAAATGGTTATTATTATGAGTAGTACTAGTAGTAGTAGTAGTAGTAGTAAGTAGTAGAAGAAGGTGGAGGGATTCTACTTGAACAGAAAACAGAGGAGGGGGAAGGGGCCTACTGGGGCTCCAGTTTTCAGGCCAGACCAGCGGGAAGGAGGAGCTTGGCCATTAAATGTGGCCTCTCTCTCACTCCCCTCCCCATTGTTCAGATACCTCCTTCCCATGAGGAACAAGACCAGCAAACGCAAGACTCCGGTGGTGAAGAGGAGCCTGAACCCCCACTACAACCACACGTTCGTGTACGCTGGAGTGAGGCTGGAGGACCTGCAGCACGTGTGCCTGGAGCTGACCGTGTGGGACCGGGAGCCCTTGGCCAGCAATGATTTCCTGGGAGGCATCAGGCTGGGGCTTGGTACTGGTAAGATCACCGTGCTCCCCGTGCCCCCCTGCCCGCAACCCCTTGCAGTTTCTTTAGACTGACATCCATATATGTGATGGGGACTCTCCCTCCTGAGCTCAGGTACCTGCTCTCTCCCTTTCATACAAGATCTTTTTTTCAAGGATCAGGAGGTCACAGGAGGCTTATGGGAAGAGTAAGTTGAGTCTCTGCTGCACCCTGGCAGTAATAACTGCACTTCCCCAGCTTCTTTCTACCTGGCCCCAGAGTCCTCAGCTTATAGCAGAGGGGAATGCTGCTTTCCCTTGAGCCAAGTTGGCTCTTGGAGGAAGGCTATGGTTTGGCCATGAAGTTTCAGTGGCCAGTTTTGTTTAGATTTTGGGGTCTAGACCTGCCTGCAGTTTCACTGGAGTGGAGAATTCCCTGCCATAGAAACTCTGTCCACTGAGGCATATCGGCAGCTTATTTATATAGTCTCAGAGCCTGGTGCACTCAGATGTTGTGATTTGCCCATGGTCACGTAGCTAGTATGTGTCAGAAACAGGGCTCAAACCTGACCGAGTCTTCCTGGCTTCCCCAACTGGCCCTCTATCCACCGCCCTCTGCAGCCTCTCATCATGGCTGGTTATCGGGAACAACAGTCTCCGAGCTAAATATTCTCCCATTTTGGGAATCCCTTTCTCCTGAGCTGAAGGCATGGATGGTGTCTCTTGGCCCACTCTAGGTAACTGTTCATATCAGTCCCTCTTAGTAAGAGAGACTCTTCTATGAGGCATGCCATCTCTCCAGGCCGCCCCTGTGGAGTCTCAGTTGGTGGGTCTCTCTTTTCAGGCATCAGTAATGGGGAGATGGTTGACTGGATGGACTCTGCTGGGGAAGAAGTGAGTCTGTGGCAGAAGATGCGGCAGTACCCAGGCTCCTGGGCAGAAGGGACCCTGCAGCTCCGTCCCACCATGGCCAGGCAGAAGCTGGGATCCTGAGCCTTGGCTCTCCCTGGAGCTGCAGGACCACCAGCTGAGCCAAGTTAGAGGAAATAGAGCCAGGATCCATACTGCCTCGTTACATAGACAGATCCACGCTCGCGTGTGTGTCTGTGTACGTTCCTGGGCATGTGTGTATTCTGCTGTTCTCTCTGTGTAGCTTGCCATCCTGCAGTGAAGGGGGATTGTTGTCACCTTGTTGAGCAATCCCAGCACTATGGGTTTATTCTTGGTCAGTGTTTGTGCCTGTGTTTAGTCTGACCTTGTTTGTTTTACTTCTTGCAGATTCCATCCTGACCCATCCATTTTGGGTCCGGGTTAAATGTAGTGTTTGAGAGCTTGAAACCACCAAGTTTTTCCAACCTCTTCTACTCCCTCCCTGCTCCCAGAGAGTTCATGGCCTCTCGGGCCTTAGCTTTGCCCCCTGTTTGTGTGGGTTCTTGCCCAAGGCTGCCAGGGGCAGGAAAAGGTAGAAGAAACAAGATCAAGCTCATCTTGAAGGGATTCCCTCCCTAGTACTCAGTAAGGCAGCTGGGATCCTTTGCATTTCAGCCTGTTTTCAGTTCCTCTTCTACTCAGACAGGAGGGTTTTTTTGGGGGGCACTCATTGCTTTTATTCCCTTTAAAGAGGTTCCCCCGAATTTGATTCTGCCCCCCCAGACTCTAGTTGAGTGCCCAGTTTCCCCTCTGGGTATCTTGGAAACCTTCATCAATGGTGGTCAAATTGTTTGTGTCCTTAGCATGTACAGCACTGCTAGGGACCTGGGATATAAGTTTATGTCAGAGACCCTGGCTCAAGTAGCTAGCCATCTAATGGGGGAGAGATGGCATGGGCTGAATGACCAATATCTGGGAGAACAGCTTAAAAGCAAAAGAGATTCAGGCAAACTGGTCTGAGCCTGGGGGTTAGGGAAGGCTTTGAGAATGAGTTGGCACCCAAGCTGGGTCTCCAGGGAAAGCTGAGCCTCCTGCCAACAAGTGGGGATGGGAGGGATAGTCTGTTTGAGGTATGAAGGATGGGATAAGCTTAGATACGGAGACAAAGACAGGACAAGACCAGGTTCCTTGTGATCCTCATCATCCCAAAAGGCTCTGGTTTTCAGAGCCAGGCTTTTAGGATCTAAAGCCTTTAAGCCAGTTGACTTAAACATAGCCAGCATATTTTGTTTTCCTAAGTAGGAGCTTAAACATTGTCTCAGAGTTTTCTGACTCAGGATGTCGCCTCCCCCCCCCCCAACATGTGCGCGCGCGCGCGCACACACACACACACACTCATTCTGAACTTTCACACAAGGACAGTAGGTATTGTAGAGCCCTTAATGTTTCCACTGACCAGCAGTGGATGCGTTGATTCTTAAAAGTGAGCCCAGACCTTGTGCGGAGCCTAGGTATGGGTTCTCTGAGTTTGGGTCTAGTGGCTGGGAAAGAATTCTCTAATGCTTGTTCAGCCTGTTCCATGCTGACAAGATTTCTTACCCCTCCCCCCCCATTACAAATGCACTTACCTATATAAAGTTGTTTGCAAAAGGAGCTACACTGGAGAGGAAAACAATTTTCTCTGGAGCAAGCTCCACCAGCTTGCTCTTGCCTAGCTAGCTGAAGAAATCTCTGTTGTAGGGAGGAATTGGGTGGAGGTCATGTCTGGATTGATGGGTTTGGTTTTATAGTGTAAGGGGGAGAGTCCTGGCTACAATTTGTTGTGTTGCTGTTTGCCACCTTTTCAAATGTTCTTTAGTTTTAATAAAGCTTTCTTACTTGCCTACCCTTTGCCTTTGTTCATTCTCTTGACCCTGACTGGGGTGCCTTGACATCCTTGCTACCTCTTCTGTCCATCTGGGAGGATGGCACACGCCCTCCCGACCACCCAGTCCTTCCTCTAAGAACGGCACCTCCCTCACCGCCGCCCTGCAGGGTTTCACTAAATTACAGTCTCAGAGCTAGAAGAGACTTGAAACTGTAGGCTGAAGCACACCCAAGTAAGAATCCTCTCCTCACCTTACTGACCAACACTGATTCTCATCGTCAAGTACCAAGCATTCCCATCCTTCCTTAAATGCAGCCACTGTCTCTCCTCTCCAAAGTAGACATGACAGGTCTTTCACTGTCCTCTTCGGAACAGCCAGGGCTTAAAGGGGGATGGGAAGTGAGAGTCTGCTAGGTGTGGGGATCATGTCCTGCAGACCATTCTATCTGAGCTCGCTGAGACCAGGGTTGGGTTTCTTTCCCTCTCAGCCTGCCAGTTCATCAGGGCTAGCTCAACTTTGAGAGGAATAGAACACAGCTATGTAGCGCACACAATGAATGACCCCTCGAGCCCCAAGAAAGCCTCTGTGGTTTGGGATCCGGGACGACACGATTTGATAACATTCAATGGAAGGGGATGAATCACCTCAAACATCTCAAAGGACTATTTAATATACAAAGTCGAACAAGCCAACAGTTTCCAACACTATGCAGTCAATTTCTTAAGTTATAGATCTATGTATGACATAAATTGATATTGAGTGTGCATGAAGATAGGGCTAGGTTCATGGCTTGGTTCTAGGCCTGGCTCTGTGTTGCTGTCTTGGAGAGCCAGCCAGGGGTAGCAGAAAGTACTGGAGTCAGGAGACCTAGGTTCAAATTCTGGCTCTCCCAATTTGGTCATATTGTAGGCATGGGCAAATCACTTCACTTCTTGGTATCTGTTTCTACTCTTCTGTGAAATTGGGATTATGCATTTCCTACTCCATAGGTTTGTAGGAGGAAAGCACTCAGCGAACCTTAAAGCCAATGGTCATGTGTGAAGTAGCTATGATAATAATGGCATCTTTGGAAAGAGAACTGGGTCGGACCCTATGGCTCCCCACCAGAGAGGACGGGGGATTTTTTTTTTAATGCATTCGGATGGCATTTCAAGAGAGAATTTGATTAAGTCTTACCCAAAGGCTACAGCAGGACTGAGGTGATCTTCTTGGAGTAATCAAAGCATTGCCTGCAAACAAGCACTATTGCTTTGTAACACCTTTTCCTCCTTGGGGAAGAGTAAGGCTTGGGCCTGTGAATTACGATTAGGGAACCACCCCCTGAAAATGGCTTCAATCAGCTACTGGGTGGGAGTTGGCACAAGGTTTCTCGGCCCTGTTTCACTATTTAGCTTCAGGGACTTAAGACGTGCTGGGCAGCTCTGGTCTGCCAACTGCAATACAGCTCTGCTATAGGCAAGGGCGGTGCTCTTACTCACTGTTTGACCCTGACCTTCAGAACTGGAAGGGCCAGTCTTTCTGGATGTTTTCCACGTGGAGCTCACTTGCACTTTGCATTCTAAGACAGAACCTGCCCACTTCCTCTCACTGAGCTGGTGCTTCTGCTCCGACCTTTTACACTTTCTTGTCCAGCCCATTGTCACATTCCACCCAGCAGCTACTTAACTTTGCTAAGATTTTTCCCCCCAGCTTTGCTGAATTTTAAAATAAGGTTTCTCCTAAAACTCTTGTGTAAACAGTACTTTCAGCTTTCCTGACTTAGGGCAAGGAGCCTGTGTTCTCTGCCCATTAGGCAAAGACCAGAATTTGACTTTTTCCCCACCTCATCTGTACACTTTTTGGGTCCTTGAGTCATACTCCAGGGCCCTGCTTTGAGCAATAAATATTCTAAGTTAAAATTGTGTTTAACTTCCCCTGCTCCCTGAGGCCCCCTTGGAACATGTATCTGTGTTGAAAGCCAGGCTATCGGTGCTCTCAGCTTTGTTTGACAAGCAGGGTCTTGGCTTGGCCAATAAGTCCTGCCACCTTGCCTTCAGATGCCCCTTCAAATCAGACAAGGGCACTGCACTGAAGGAGAAGGCTCCTGATTACCTGGTGTATTACTGGGCTCTGAGCCGGGATAGAAATGAAGTAAAGGGTCTGAGCCAGCAACAGGAGAGGAACTCCCCACATAGCCTCAGTGAATGGGGTGAAGTCTGAGCAATGGCACTAAATAAAAGGGGGAGGGAGAAAGGCCTTCATCCAACAACCCTCTCTCATTTCTGGTTCTCAGTCTGACTGTCCTGTTGTTAGCCCTGACCTGCACTGGGTCTAGCTTGGAAAAGTGAACCTCTGTCTGAGTGTAATAGTTTCATGGGGCCTCGGGAGGGAGCAGCAGGAAGAGAGAAGTTGCAGTTGGTTGTACATCAACTTTGGTGGGGGGCTAGAAGGGCAGTGAGACTAGCTCCATGACTAACTAGCAAGCTGCTAGGACCGACTGGTTAAGATGAACTGAGAGGATGGTGATATTTGTAGGATAAGGCAAAGAGAGAAGCACTGGGAGGGAAACATTAAGGACTTGCAAAATCAGTGCTATACATGCCATGCCCTGCCCTCCCCTCCCCTCCCCTCCCCTCTCCTCCCGTCCCTTTCCCTCCCTCCCCTCCCCTGGACCATTTGAAGGGAAACAGGGTTGATTTTGCTGATGGTGTTGACTTCAGTTGTAGTATCTGGGAAAGGCAACCATTTAAAACACACATTCTATTGATGAATGAACATGGGGGTTCATGAACTTCTGGGAGCCTGGAGGTTGAGAGGAGGGGTAGCAGAGGAAAGAAGGCTGCCGCAGCCACTGCCAATGATCTTATCTATGCTCCAGTGCTGCCCCGAAGATTGCCACTGCTAAGCCTGTTGGGACTAAATAACTCCACCCACCCCCAGATCCCTGGAAACCTCCCTGGGGGCAGTGCATGGTTTCAGACGCGCTGGTGACCAGCCCCCTGCCCTGCTCTTGGGGCTTCTTTTAGAATGGCCACCACTTCACCCAAATGGAATAAATTCCCTATCTCTTTATTTTCTGGGGTCCAGAGTTCTACAGCCAGGGTGCCTCACTCACAACCTGTGCCCTGGCTCAGGTTCATTCACATACATCGCGCTGCCTCCGCCGCTGCTCCAATTCCTGCTTGCTCAGAAGGTAGTCATCAATAAAGGTGAAGATCTCCTCGGGGGTAACTGGTTCCATGTAACGCTCCCGGTCCATACCCAGCTTGTCAATTAGCACCATGTTGAAATAGGACCTGGTGAGGTGCTGAAATTGCCTGGAAGAGAAAAAGAGTTCTGAATGTCCAGAGACCTAGGCCTCTCATCGGCCAGCCTCTTTACCTTTAACACCCTTCATCTCCATCCCACTACTATAACCACCTGGCCTTCCTACCTCAAGTCCCTTGATCTTAACCCATTCAATCACATTTCAATGCAATACAACATTTATGAATCATCTACTATAAAGAAGGCAGTGTGTTAGATTTGTAATGACTGTAAACTATTTTAAAATGTTAGTGATTATTTGAATGTGAAGTGCCATTGCACCATCCAAACTAAGGAAGGCCTTGAGAATCCCTCAGATTAAAAATCATACTCCTCTGTGTCCTATTGCAAACACTTAACCAGACACTGGCACTGTCAAGAAACAAATAAGAAAACAAAACAAAACAAAACAAAAAAAAAACCATTCTTTTTATGATAGAATTGGTGGGAAGGGATCAGACATTCGATTTCTTTGCTGTTACAAAATCTCACTGTGTAAACTCCCTCTGCTTTTCCCTAGGTACCTGAGCAAACTGGTTCATAATTTCATTTTAATTAAATTACAAAATTGCCTGAGGGGAAAGGGGATGATTGAGGGGTTAAAGTGACCCCACTGTGGGGGTCACACAGCTGGTATGTACCAGAGGCAAGACTGGAACTAACCAGGCTTTCCTGACTCTAAGTCTGGCTTATGATACCATGCTGTTTCATAATGCATGACACCAATCTAAGTAATTGTGAGGATCACACCTTCTAGAAACCCTTAGCCTCATTTTCCAGCTGAGGAGAACCAGGCTCAGCGAGACTAAGTGACTAGCTCAGAGGCAGAATTTGAACCCAGACTGAATTCCCCACTCTAGGTCCAAGTGCTCTCTCCTCTAGACCCTCCTACCTCAGTAGAAATAAAAGCAAAAATGTTTTAAAGCATATTACCTGACACAGGCTGTCCCTTTCAAAGTAGATTCTTTAAAAAAAACAAACCAAACCAAACCATCCATAAATAAACTCGTCAGCCTTTCTAGGGAGGTCAGCATTTTCAGTGAAGACACAGAACTTGGGCATATGGCAGATAAGGCAGCTGGCTGGGATGCCCGAGCCAGGGGGGTGGCTGGAAAAGTCTTTGGTAAACAATGCACGGAACAAAATGCAACTCGAAGCAGAACGTGGTTGAAAACAGGAACTGTCCAGTGAAGAGGGGAGGATGGAGGATGGAGGATGCAGGGTGATAACGAGAGGCTGGAGAGAGGGTGAACAGGAGTTGGCAACATCAGCAGCGGGGCAGGCGGCCAGGCGTGGCATCTCGGACTCTGGCCTGCTGGCTGCCCCGGGCCCTCTCTCTCCTCCGGCGGCCCGCCTAGGGCTTGGGCCGGCCCCTGGGGTGCAGGGCCACCCTGGCCTTGGGCAGGCGCTGCCGAATCCGCCGCCGCAGGCAGGCGATCTCCTTCTCCAGCCGGATGATGCGTCTCTTGGCCTCCCCAGGGCTGCGAAAGGCATAGCTGTGGTCCTGGAGGACCTGCTGCGCCCTGAGGATGGACACACTGGGGATCGGAGGGGGCCGAGGGGGGGGCCGTGGGGGAGAAGAAGGGGGGGGCCCGGCCTGCTCCTGGGCCTCCTGCTCGGCCTCGACCTCGATCTCGTCCTCGATCTCCAGAGGGATGTCGGCCTCGTCGCCCCTGCTGTCGCCCGCGGCGTCGGCGTCGGCCTCCACCTCCGCTTCCAGCTGGGGCTCC